CATATGTTTTAACTGATGTATAATTATAACTTACAGTTATTAGATATCCTTTCCAAACTACTTTAGCCAGTAAGTATGAACTGTGAAAAAAGAAAAAGAATAGAGTACTTATCAGTATGTACTATAGGGAGAAATCCTTACTTGGCAGGAAGAAAACTATATGAGCCAATTCATCTTTTCCATCTCTAGTTTCTATATTAGCTCTAGAAAGATTGTTGTACCTAAAATACATAAATGCATGTTCTGACCACTCCTGCATTCATACTTCACATCTCAACATACAGTAAATCTAGAATTTTAAAGCTAAGATATATCCCTTAGCTACAAGATCACTACTCACTAATTTATCTGGGGAGCCTGTTGAAGTATTAATAGCTACAGCTACTATTCTTAGCATAAAGACACTTAGAGTGCCAATCCTGCACGTCCATCTGCCCCGGACAAGGTTTCTAAGACTTTACAGAAGTGATTGCTAACTGTTTAAAGAAGCGCTTACCAGAAAGCAAGTTTCTTTCGACCATCTATTGTATTCTAAAAAGAAAGCTCTCTCTCCCCCAAATAATTCTTTAACATTTCCTTTGAAAAGAGACAGATTTTGATTCCATCACAAAATTGCACCCCAGAAATCACTAGTTGGTGAATCATTCCTTGAGATGATCTGTTTTAGTTCAGTAAATGTTCTAGGCACCTTCAGTTAAATTTCCTGTTAATATTAAACAGAGGATTTTAGAAAGCAGAAGGATGCTGTCATAAAAAACTAAACCAAAAGGATGAGTTTATATATGTTAAAACAATAATCTAAACTTTGTGTAAACATTTTATTAACTTCCTTCTGTCAACCTAAAAGGAGATTATGAATCTTAAAAGGTTCCATTTATTGCTGATGTATTCCAGCAGATATTTTAATTTACAGATACGAGAAAACGTTAATTGTACAGCAGGTCAGGATAACCCTGAATTAAGGGACTACTTGAACAAATGCATGCCAAATGCTGGCGGTTTCTCATGTGCGAACAAGCTTCACCAGAATTATCTAACAGGAGTAATTGTTTCGCATGTTCAGTCTACAAAATCTGCATTGGCGGAATATGAGTCAATCTCAATTGTAGCAGATGAAGAAAAAAGATGCCCAAGGTAATTATGTTCTACACATTTAGTTTTTAACTGGGAGCTGGACAGACCTCAACCTGCCTGTTTTTCAAGCAGAGCCAGTTCACCTCACGTCTGTCGATTTTTCTATGGTGGCACAAGCTGTAGTAAAGGCTGTTGTAAACTAAAGCTGTAGTGAAGGCTGTTGTAAACTATGGCTTAGAAGTTAACAAGATCTCAGCATTTTTGTCAGATAATGCAATGTATATGGGCAAAGCACTCTCTGATGTGATCCATGGAATGATGCCCAATGAAACTCATGTCACCTGCAATTCACAAATCCTCTCTTTAGTAAATGACACCTGGGACAAAAAACTTTGATTTTTACTGATGTGGATATCCTAGTTTCCTGTTTAAAAAAGCATTCAAACATTATCCAGGCTGCGAGCTTCAGTACAGGGAGTCCATCATGAATCAAAGTGGGGATCTACATGCGACTGTGCTACTTCCATCAGAGCCAGTCTTTTCAAGGTGGAATTCATTGTTTAATGCAGTTCGTTACCATGAAAAGGATATGAAGCGCTACCAGCAATTTGTGTGCGAGGAGCTTGACATCACACCCATCACACAGTGCATGCTTAAACTATGTGATCTCTTAAGATAGGGTGACATTGAAGATCAAATTAAGTTTGTGGCTGAAAATGTGATTTTGTCCATGGAGCTTCTAATGCTATTTGAAGGTTGGCAGGCTTTGATCCACCAAGCATACAAGCTGATAGATTTGATAAGCTGGGTTGAAGACATGGCATCGCAACAACTTTCAAGCTGTCAACACAAAACCCAGCAGAGACAACAACTGTTCCAGGCAATAACTTCAAAGTTGAATCCATTACTACAAGTACTATCAGCCTGCTACCACCATGGTTTAAACAACTGACTGCCTTCTTTTTTAGTGGTTTGCATTTTTTACCTCAATCAGGTGCCCTTCCTGGGTTTTGATCCTCAGCTACTGAAATCAGTCCCTGGATGGCAGAAAGAACATGACAAGAAACACGCTGCTTACATAAACCTGGTTAAAGCATGCCAGATACCTCTGAATGTGACTGTGTTTTGGGAGTCTGTTTCCCAAATCAGTTTCCACATCTTTACAATTTGGCAAAACGCTGCCTTATGATTCCAGCCAATTCAGTGGATGCAGAATGTGCAATCTTAGTGTATGGACACATGCTCACACCTCAAGAAACAGAGGATGTGAGCTGCAACTGCTGGTGGATGCTAAATGCCAGCATTTAACAACTAACATGGATTGTTTCTATCAAGGTTAGTATTATTATTACAAAACTTTTTGTAGAATAGTAATAATAAATTAGGATAATATTAATGACAGTTCCTACTGTGCATCAATTTATATTTGTAACATATTTCAATTTAGATTTAAAATGTAATACTTGTGTGTAGAGTAATGCAGTAATTTATTTGATATTTCCACAGGCTTTGCTACTTAATTATGCTGCAGGTTTTACCTCTCGGCCAGCCAGCACCATGGGGCGGAGCTGCCAAGGCTTCTTGGTGGTGAAGGGGGGCTCGCTGAGAAAAGACCTCAAAATCAGCTCTGCATGCTGCAAGCGGCCCGTGAAAATCCCTTTGTCTCACCGTGATTTTGGTAGGTTCCTACATATAACTATAACATTGTAGTTCTTTCCTAGTTTGAAACTAGAATACCAAATTTTAGTAGAAATCTACATAGCCAAACAATGTCAGGCTGTAGGACAATTAGTGAGCACCAGTATGTTTCTGGGATGACATAAGAATTGCAATACCAGACCAAACCAGACCATCGGTCTACCTTAGTCCCACTTAGATTGTGAAATCTTAAAATGGGCTAAGATTGCTGTGGGCAGGTTTTCTAATCTCTAAAATCTCAAACTGATTTGTAACCTACAGAATGTAATCTGGAAGTGATGTAAACCTTTTTAAGCCTATGCATGTTACCCTGGATGTTCTTCTGCATTTTAAATGAGTGTTTTACATGCATACACACAATAAGACTGTAGGCTTAATGCTGAAACATTTCATTAAAATGAACTAGCAGAATGAAGCAACCCCGTGGTTCCATCATGCTGCAATTTTACCAATGCAGAAGTCTTAGGCTTCAATAAACATTGAAGGATTTTGGGACCAAAATTGGCCACAAGAAGCAGTAGTGTCAACACTTGCAAAAACTGTATTTTCTCACATACACACTTTTTCCCTAAAAACTAGCTGCTGGAAACTATATGCATTATATACAAGAAATATGGTAATAACAGTTTCTGCATAAGAAAATGTTCTTTTTGCTGGTTACTGGCAAAAAGAAAGTAAACTCTACACAGGACTCGCAGTGAAAAGGCTCTGCTCCCTAGCTGCTGCTGCTTAGTTATTTACTACAAGGAAAGATGTTTTTTCCCTTCATTTTGCCCTTCAAAAAGGTGTGTATTTTGTGCTGGGGTGTGTTGTTTGTAAGAAAATACCATATGTCGACTTTCTCTACTCACCTGCCAACTCTTTGTTTGATTACAACCAGGAAGAGGGGTTGCAGCTTAGTTAAAAGATATATTACCACTGGGCTTGGGGGAGCATCCCTGGGGGTGCCAGATGAAGCAGACACTTACGGTCACCATGAAGACCAGCCCAGGACCCTGAGGGCAAGGTGTGCTCACCCTGGCACATGGGATGGGGCCACAAGTAGGTGATGAGGGGGATGGGAAGGCAGGGGCTGAGGTCAGGATCATGGAGTGGTAACAGCACGGGACTAGGGCTTGGGGCAGAGCCATGATCTACTCTCCACGTGTCCCTGTCCTCAGAACTAGCACCCGTTGCAGGGACGTGTGGGGAGCAGATCATGGCTCTGCCCCAGGCCCTGGCTCTGTACTGTCACCACCCCGTGATCATGGCCCTGCCCACCCATCCCACTCTCAGACATGGTTTCCTACCTGTCCATGGCCCCATCTCATCCACTTGGCTGAGCACACCCTGCCCATGAGGGTCCCATGCTGGTCTCCATGGAGACCCTGCCCGGGAGGGGCAGATGGGCCTGGATAGGATCAGGTGCTCCCCACCCTCCCCCACTGGACCAGGTGAGCACCCCCCTATCCCCTGGCCTGCAACAGCTCACCAAAACTCCTTACGTGGCCCTCCAGCCCAAATAATTGCCTATGCCTGTTATAAGCTGCTGGAAAAGTAATCTCTGGACAAGATCTGAAAATATCAACCAAAGCCTGACATCTAAAATAATAAAAGATTTTCTGCAAGACACTATCACCGTATATTCATTCCAAAGATCTTGCATAGTGGGCCTGCAGCTGGGACAGGTTACAGCAAAAGGGACACATCTCAGACACAAAAGATGTAGCACACCACTGAAGAAAGTTTAAGAGAACTTGCACGCAACAGCAGCGGCAGAGTAAAAGGCATAGAAGAAACATTTAAGATCTTGGGATCCTGTGGTCCTATCTTAGTGTATCTAACAAAACTGTGTACAGATAGTTTCTGCCCTTTCTCATTTACAAACGTTGTAAACAGTGTAAACTGATGCAAACATACTCTTGTCATACAACTGCAACAATGATTTACTTAGGATCATTTAAATGGAAGAATTTTCCTTTCTTCTTTGCAAAGAAACGAGAATATTAATATAGAAAGTGACAATAATGCAGCACTGTGATTACACAGTTAAAAACACAATAAACAAACAGAAGAGCTAAAGTTTCAGTTAATAAAGCACACTGCACTCTTTGCATTTTATGGTAGTAGTTGCTCAACTGTGTCTACAGAGTGTTTGTAGTCATTGGGTGGTGCTTTGATTTGGCTGCATTAACAAGCCAATGGCTTTGTGCAGAAGAGGACCTTAGAGGGGGCAGTTCTAGTCTTACCCCTTGTGGAGGAAATGCCAAAAAGTTGTGGAAGTGAAGTCCAGTCCATGCATAGGCGTCAACTCTGTGGGTGCTCCACGGCTCAAGTACCCACTGAAAAAAAAAATTAGCAGGTGCTCAGCACCTACAGAGCCAAACCTGCAGACATTTAAAAAAAAAAAAAAAAAAAAAAAAAGCACTTTACCAGAAGCAGCAACGTGTTACTTCAACCCAGCCCTGCAGCATCTGTAAAGATAGGGTGCTTCAGAGAGGTTGTTTTGGCACTTTTAGCTAAAGCTGATTCAATTAGCTTGGATCCCTTAGCAATAATATTTGCAAAACTGTGGAAGACAGTTGAGGTTCCAGTTGACTGGAAAGGGCCAATATAGTACTTTTCTAAGAAAGGTGAAAAGGATGACCAGGGAAACTATAAACCAGTCAGCCTGACTTCAATACCCATGAAGTTACTGGAGCAAATGATAAAGAAGTCAACTTATAGGCACCTAGAGGAGGAAAAGCTGACCATGAGCAGACAGCGTGACTAAGAGCAAATAATGCTACACCAACCTGACCTCCTTCTTGGACAAAGTAACTAATTGGGTGGAAGATGGGGTTGAGGAAGCAGTGTGTTTGGATTTTGGTGAGGCTTTTGATAACGTCCCACATGGCCTTCTTACAAGCAAATCAGAGAAATCTAAGCTAGATAAAATTATTATAAGGTGGTGTAACAAGGAGCCGGAGGCTCCCGTTACTTTAAAAGAGAAGCAGCAGTAGGGAGGTCCCCAGGTGAGGGGAAACACTGCCCATTATGGCTTGGCTGCAAGGCAGTAGGCCACCAGGGACGCACAACTTACAAGTACTGATTGCTAGGCTAGCAGCACTGCTAAGGCAGCCAGAGTATTAGTCATAGGCTGCCCTGGACACTAGCTGCCAGGCTCAAAGTGGAAACTACTGTGAGTAGCTGAGGAGACACCTGAACAGAAGAGGCAGGGCTTAGAAGACAAACTCAGGGCCTGACCCAGAAGGGTCAGTCTGGCCCTGCAGGCAGCAAGAAAAAGAGTTCCTGAGCAGGAAGGGGACTGCCTGGCACCTGAGCTGCCCTAGGAACAGCACAAGGTTTATAGCTTGTAGCGAAGTATGACTCAGTGTGGGGGCATTTTAGTTATAGCCAGTGGGCATAAGTTTTTGTTTAAGCTTTAAAACAGGAGACTGGATGTGGCGGTAAGGGGTGATGAGGAGCCATAGAGGGGCACCTGAGGGGTGCATTCTGGTTTAACCCACAGAGAGGTTTATTAATGATGCAGATTAATGCTGTTCCTTCCAACCTAATGGTTCTAATGCTCAACACAGATGCAGGATGCGCTACTTCCAAACTATCCCACATAAATGTCCATCCAACCTCTTCTTGAAAACCTTCAGTGAAGGAGATTTCATATCATCCCCAGGTAATTTGTTCCACTATCTGACTCTTCTAAGTTAGGAAGGTGTTCTTCCGATTTAATGTAAATCTGCCTTGCTGCCGTGTCATGAATCCCACCCTCTGTGGCACAGGAGACAGGTGCCTCTTCTTTATGCCTCCCATTCAAATATTTGCAAAATTGCTATTATGTCCCCCTTCAATTTCGTCTTTTCCAGACCAAATGTAAATAACTCCCCTAAACTTTTTTGTGTAGCTTGCGTTTCAATCCCTTTGTTGCTCACTGCTGGATCTTCTTCAGTTTCCCTAACCTTCCTTAAACTCCTTAAAACATGGCAGCCAGAACCAATACTCTAGCTGTGGCTTAACCAGCACTGAGTAAATTGGTACCATTACCTCTTCTATCTTGCGCACAATGCTTCCGTTAATAAAGCCCAATACCACATTTGCTTTTTTTGTAATCGATCACATTTGGTGACTCAATGATTGTGACCCTCCCCTCCTACCCTATAATTCCCAGCTCCTTCTCAGTAATGCTGCTATCAATCAGGACATCATGTTTGGCTTTCTTCCCTAGGTGTAGCAACTTCCATATGTCCTTGTTGAAATTCTATTTGTTGCCTAAACCCAGTCCAATAATTTACCAAGATCCTCATGTATTTTAACCCTATTCTCGAAAGCATTTGCAAGACCTCTCAGTTTCATGCCGCCCATAAAATCTGTTCAGTAAATTCTCTAGTCCTCCATCCAAATCATAAATAAAAATGTTAGCCCAAATCAAGAACATAACTCTTAAAAACCCCACTTGAGACCCCTTGCTACTAGGACATCAGGCCATTTAGTTACTCACTGCTTGCAGTGTTTCAAGCAGTTGTCTCCACACAACTGTAATGCAATATAGCCCACATTTTACCAGCTTACTTGTAAGAATGCCATGTGGAGCGGTGTCAAAAGCCTTACTGAAATCCAAGTATATCATGCCCAATGCATTCTCTTCATTCACTAAACTAGTCATCCAAGGAGGAAATCAAATTCAGAGATTACTCCATTTGTAACCTTAAAATTGCAGAGGCCCCTGAAAGGTCTATTCTGCCTATGCACAGAAGTACCTCGGTCTTGACAACAACCAGTCTGCTACTCAGATGACAGCTAAGGCAATTGGGATCCAGAAATTACATATTCTTCTGAGGGGCTTGATCCAGTAGGCATTTCCAGAGCATGCTGAACATGCATGAACAGAATCAGGCTCGGGTTTCTGCCTTCTTTTACAGTGTTGGCAGAGGGGAAGAGACATGGGACGATCCTAGGATAGTGGTTAGAGCCCTTGTCCAGGATGTGGGAGATCTGGGGTTTAGTCCCATTCTACCAAAAGCATTCAAATCTCTCTCCCTCAAAAGAATGTTCCAACTGTGAGGCTAAAATCATAAATCCCTGCTACACTCTCTAGCTTAATGAATTATCCATTTTTATCTGCAGTGGAGCAGTTTCACTGGGAACAGTCTGCTACTTAGAGCAAGTGCTTGAGAAATGGAAAGTGTGGACAATTTCCTCCCTTTCCAAGGACCCCATTTCCTGGGTAAGCACTCTGACCAATAAGCTATTATATAAAAGAGGGCCACCTTTTCCTCTACCCTGGGGGACAAGGAGAATGTGCCCTTGAAAGAAAAAAAAATGTAGATCAGTGATGCCCAACCTTTTTGCCCTGTAGCCTGGATGGGCAGTGCCAGGTCAGGCTGTAGGCCTGATCCAGGTGGTGAGCTTGATCCAGGCGGCATGCAGGGCCAGGAGAGTAGACATCCTGCTGCAGGGGAATGCACAGCCCAACCCTAATCTGTCTGCCAGGGGAAAGTGGGGAAAAGCCCAGTTCTGATCTAGACATGGGGGACAGGGCAGAGTAACCTCCAATCCTGGTATGAGGTGGTGGGAAGCAGCGTGGCCCCAATCCAGACATGTCTGGAGGGCTAGGGGAGTGTGCAGTGGTGCATCCACAATCTGGACCCTTGGTGGGGGGGGTGTCAGGGTAGTGAGGTGAAGCAGCCCTGATCTGGATGTGCCAGGGCAAAGGGTGAGGTGGGGAGCAGCCGAGGCCTGATGCAGATGCCAGGGTGTGGTACAGTGGCCACTATCCAGATGTATGGAAAAGGCACAGAGGAACCTGGCCCAATCCCAATGCATGGGGGTGAGCCTGGTCTGGATGCCACTGCCAGCAATGGCCCAGGCAAAACTGGCCAACAACAATACAGTGTGGAGTTTCCCTGCTCCCCAGTTGCCAGTTTTTTCTGACCTATGGGGATTCCCGTGATGTCATGGCTCCAAGGGCTGGACACTGAGCGCTCTTGATGTAGACAGGTGTTTTCAGGAGTTAATTTCAGATTGTGGATTAAGTCTGAGACATGTAAGAGGACAGGACTGAAGAGACCCTTGTACTCAGCTTTTTCTTGCTGTTCCCTGCTCAGCATGCTGGCTGTTTTGGAATATAATTTTGAGGCACCTAAAGTTATACATAGGGTTCTTATTCAAGCGAGTCTTGACAAGCAATAGCACTACAGAATGCATCTTTAGCAAGTTTGTGGAACACCAAGCCTGGGGGAGTAGTAGATAACCTGGAGGGTAGGGCTCAGATTTAGAGACCCTGACAAATTGGAGGACTGGACCAAAAGAAATCTCATGAGGTTCAACAAGGACAAGTGCAAAGTTCTGCACTTAGGACGGAACAATCCCATGTACCACTACAGGCTGGGAACCAACTGGCTAAGTAGCAGCTCTCCTGAAAAGGACCTGGGGGTTACAGTGGAAAATAAGATGGATACAAGCCAACAGTGTGCCCTTGCTGCAAAGAAGGCTAATGGCATACTGGGCTGCATTAGTAGAAGCGTTACCAGCAGACTGAGGGAAGCGATTATTCCACTCTATTCAGCAGTGGTGAGGCCACAACTGGAGTACTGTGTCTAGTTTTGGGCCCCCCACTACAAAAAGGATGTGGACAAATTGCAGAGAGTTAAATGGAAGGCAATAAAAATGGTTAAGGGGCTGGGGACATGACTTCTGAGGAGGGGCTGAGGGAACTGGGTTTATTTAGTCTGGAGATAAGAAGACTGGGAGGAAATTTAATAGAAGCCTTCAACTATCTGAAGGGTGGTTATAATGAGGCTGGAGCTAGACTGTTCTTAGTGGTGGCACAGAACAAGGAGCAATCATCTCAAATTGCAGCAAGGGAAGTTTAGGTTAGATACTACGGAAAACTCCTACAAGGAGGGTAGTAAAGGAGTGGAACAGGTTATGCAGAGAGGTTGTAGAATCTCCGTCCTCGGAGGTTTTTAATACCTAGCTAGACAAAGCCTTGACTTGGAGGATATATATGGGGATGGTCCTGCTTTGAGCATGGGGCTGGACTAGATGACCTCTTGAGGTCCCTTCCAACCCTAATTTTCTAAAGTTAGTGTGAGTAAATTGCTTCTGTCTGAAAGCATCCACTCATGGCCTGCAACGGTCCCTGCCTGTTTCCTTGGAGCTTCAGGAAAACTCCAATCATACCCAGTTTTTAAAACAAATATACTCTTTTGTCCTCTCTCTTTTTAGATTTAGGATTCCACAGTCTTTCTTGGGCTTGTGCCTTGAGTCCTGGGTGTCCCCTGCCCACCAACTTTTCACTC